GTAAAAATCTAGCCAACAGCGGTAATGCACCCTCCTCCTCTCTTTCTGACTCAGGTTGACAGATTTGCAGACGAATCCAGCTGGGACCATAATATCTGAATAGACAAGAGTTTTGTGAACAATAAATCTATAACCGACACCTAATTGCATTAAATTCACCCTCAGCAACTTCAGACACATTCGGCACCAAATGTCAATACAAGCAGCAAAAATGTACATGCACTCAATGATCATTTCACATCTAACCTACTGTTTAACTGTCTGGTCACATGCTAATGTCACAACTCTCAAACCCATCCTGTCCCTCTACAAACGCACCATAAAAACTCTGGACTGCAGTGCAGACCACTCTCACATCATCACTGTCCACTATTACAAAGCATCATTTACTCAGTTGGGAAAACATGGTCAAATACTCACATCTCTGCCTCACCTATAAAATAATACATGGCTTTTCATCACCCCTACTCAGAGTTCATTCACATCAGTACAGCAGAACTCAGGAGAACCAGAGCAGCAGCAAGGGGCGACTGCATCATCCCTCTGAGAAAAAGCCTCTTTGGTCAATCCACATTTTCTGTCAAAGATGCCCATGAATGGAATCTCACCCCCACAACAATAAGAAACATCAACACATATAACTAAGTCAAAATGCAGGTGAAAAAATGGCCCATATAAATCAAAGCTGTCAGCACTGACTCCTCACCGCTGCCCCCTGCTGGCCTCTTGTTCTTTTTCTGTGAGTCTGACTTGTCTTTATTTTTGCTGAGTTTGTAACAGTCGTGTGTTCATGTCTATATGTTTGATTTGTGTTATTGAGGACATTGTTTGTATATATTTACTGCGTTATATTTTATCTGATTGTGTTATGTGTAATTTTATTCCCTTCAGGAGGACACATAACTGTCCAGGGACTACGGATGGAAAATAGCCCTTAGGCTAATTCTGGCATATTTACATGTATAATGTATATTAATATGCAATGTCCCTTTAATAAATAAATAAACATCAAACATTAAACATCAAACCTTTTCACTTAGGCCCTGATAGAAATCCTGGTTTTATTCCTTGTTTTGTCATGAATGATTAGAGAATCATAACAAGACCATTATTAGTTCTGCGGCCACATGTTACTTTACCAGTGAGATTAGCTCGAAGCGGTGAGTTCTGGCAACGCGGATCACAGACTTTTGACAGATCAGGGCTATCTAATGATAACTTGACAGGAAAATCTTACATACTGTATTGCTACTTTAAGTTTGCCGACTCATCAAACCACCAACAACGCACAGATAGACTTTTCTTCATGCTTTCAGCCCGAGTGCTTGTACTCCTGTGACGAGAGCTGCCGTCAAGATGGAAGTACCAGTGCTCATTCTGATGCAGCTCGGTGGCAGATGGTGGTTCCATGACGTCTCCGGAGGATCTCGAGACCCAGACTCTCCGCGGAGCTGCACTTTTTTTTTTTGCAAGTACAAAAAAAGTTGCGAGCTGAACCTGCTGTGCCATCAGAGCCAGCTCACCGCTTCTACCTTGAATTTTCCACAACGTGCGTTTGTTTTACTAAAATAATGCAACTGTATTTGAGCCACAACGTTGCAGTGATGCGGTGGTGGATGGAACAAGGCTTAACACTTTAACTCCCAGAGCTGTCATTTTGACTGCTCAATTAATTTTAAAGTAAAACTAGGGATAGGGAATTATGGGCGTCTCTGCTTACACTGCTGCCCCCGCGACCCGGCAACGAATGAAGCAGAAGATTTTTGTTCACTGTCTTTTGATGGCAGTTAAATCCTGGTCCTGGACTGGTTCAGGTTCAGCATTGCTATTATTATCATTATTATTATTATTATTATTATCATTATTATTATTATTATTATCAATTTTTAATAAGGACAAAATACAAAACGGTCCATAGTTAAAAAGAAAATATCCAATACACACAGTATATTGCATGTTGAATAATAAATATGTACAGGAAAACAAAAAAGAGAACATTATAGCTGCTGTACAGTATAAAGGCATGACCGCCAGTAAGTCCATAATTTGGAGGTGAACAGCAGTGAGCAGAACTCAGGGTGGAGCAGAGTCTGAACAATTGCATTATTGGAGTTCCTCAGACGATACATGAATCTGAACTGAAAATTACAAAGAGATGCAGAACAGGAGCGGACACCACAGAAGGCAAACATCTCACTCGCAATGCTGAGCCGAGGAACCTTCATCCGCAGCCTCAAGGAGTTGTTATAGGCCACACTGAGTTTCCGCAAACTGGATTTTTAAAAACTCTTCCAAAGGTGAGCAGTAAGATTTAAATGGAGTTACATTTACCTCGGGAGAGCACATATCAAACTTACGTAGCAGTATATTTGATTGGTCATATACAGTGGGGCAAAAAGTATTGAGTCAGCCACCAATTGTGCCAGTTCTCCCACTTAAAATAATGACAGAAGTCTGTAATTTTCATCATAGGTACACTTCAACTGTGAGAGACAGAATGTGAAAAAAAATCCAGGAATTCACATTGTAGGATTTTTAAAGAATTTATTCGTAGATTATAGTGGAAAATAAGCATTTGGTCAATAACAACTAATCAACTCAATACTTTGTAATATGACCTTTGTTTTCAAATAACAGAGGTCAAACGATTACTATAGATCTTTACCAGGTTTTCACACACAGTAGCTGGTATTTTGGCCCATTCCTCCATGCAGATCTTCTCGAGAGCAGTGAACACGGATTTTCAACTCCCTCCACAGATTTTCAATGGGGTTGAGGTCTGGAGACTGGCTAGGCCACTCCAGGACTTTCAAATGCTTCTTACGGAGCCACTCCTTCGTTGCCCGGGCGGTGTGTTTGGGATCATTGTCATGCTGGAAGACCCAGCCACGTTTCATCTTCAAAGCGCTCACTGATGGAAGGAGGTTTTGGATCAAAATCTCACGATACATGGCCGCATTAATTTTTTCCTTAACACGAATCAGTCGTCCTGTCCCCTTAGCAGAAAAACAGCCCCGAAGCATGACGTTTCCACCCCCATGCTTCACAGTAGGTATGGTGTTCTTGGGAAGCAACTCAGTATTCTTCTTCCTCCAAACACGACGAGTTGAGTTTATACCAAACAGTTCTACTTTGGTTTCATCTGACCACATGACATTCTCCCAATCCTCTGCTGTATCATCCATGTGCTCTCTGGCAAACTTCAGACGGGCCTGGACATGCACTGGCTTCAGCAGGGGGGCACGTCTGGCACTGCAGGATTTGATTCCCTGTCGTCGTAGTGTGTTAGTAAGTAAGTAAGTAAGTAAGTTTTTATTTATATACCGCCTTTTCACTGCAGATCTGAGTCTCAAAGCGGTTTACAATTGTTAATTTTGGGCATTTGTCTCTCACTCCACACAGAGATGGGAGCGGGGCCAGTACAGGAGGCACATGCCAGAACTATTGGACATATTTTTAGTGGTAGGGGAAACCGGAGTACCCGGAGGAAACCTACGCAGACACGGGGAGAACATGCAAACTCCACTCAGAAAGGCCCTGGTCCGGCCGGGATTTGAACCGAGGACCTTCTTGCTGAGAGGCTAGAGTGCTATCCACTCAGCCACCGTGCCGCCCGTTACTGATGGTAACCTTTGTTACTTTGGTCCCAGCTCTCTGCAGGTCATTCACCAGGTCCCCCCGTGTGGTTCTGGGATTTTTGATTGCCGTTCTCATGATCATTTTGACCCCACGGGATGAGATCTTGCATGGAGCCCCAGATCGAGGAAGATTATCAGTGGTCTTGTATGTCTTCCATTTTCTGATAATTGCTCCCACAGTTGATTTGTTCACACCAAGCTGCTTGCCTATTGTAGATTCACTCTTCCCAGTCTGGTGCAGGTCTACTATTCTTTTCCTGGTGTCCTTCGACAGCTCTTTGGTCTTGGCCATAGTGGAGTTTGGAGTCCGACTGTTTGAGGCTGTGGACAGGTGTCTTTTATACAGATAACCAGTTCAAACAGGTGCCATTAACACAGGTAACAAGTGGAGGACAGAAGAGCTTCTTAAAGAAGAAGTTACAGGTCTGTGAGAGCCAGAGATCTTCCTTGTTTGAAGTGACCAAATACTTATTTTCCACCATAATTGACAAATAAATTATTTAAAAATCCTACAATCGAAATTTCCCCACTGTGGGACGAATAAAGGAATTCTTATCTTAATGTGAATTCCTGGATTTTTTTTCTCACATTCTGTCTCTCACAGTTGAAGTGTACCTATGATGAAAATTACAGACCTCTGTCATTATTTTAAGTGGGAGAACTTGCACATTCGGTGGCTGACTAAATACTTTTTTGCCCCACTGTAACTGACACAGCTGCCTGTGCATGTCCTTGTCATCAGAGAGGTCACTGGTGATGTAGTGACCAAGTGACCAAGGTAGCTAGTTATTGTGCAGAATATTGTTAACTGTCAGCTGTTAGCATTTGGTCTTTAGCATTACGGGCCGTACACATCCCACATGTCATGTGAAGCGGAGAATCTCGCACAGCAGCATCCCTTGGGGGGCGTGGGGCTGATTTGGAATGCGTGCCCATGTTATCAGTGAGGAGCATACACACCGCACACCTAATCCATCAGTTCTCTGGCCCATACTGTCCTCTACAATTCTCCATAGACAACACAGGGAGAGCATCAGCAGCCACATCCCTGCACGCTCTGCAGGTGTGTACACAGCTGGGTGACACAAGAGGAGAGGCGCTTGTCACTCGCTGTGCTTGCGTCGTGTTAGCCTTTGAACATAATGTATTTGGTATATTTCAAGCTACTAAATGAGTAAGTGAGTGAAAACCGTATAAATTACATACTTTTAATCAAATTGACAAAAACCTCTTTAGGGCAATTTCTTAAAACTCTCTGTGCGACGCCCTGAGAGCTTACACAAACTTATCTCTGTAGTTTCATAATTGTGGTAGTCCTGGTGTTAAAAATAGCAAAGGAGTGGCTTGTACAGCTTTACGCACCTGGAAGATGTTTGAGAGGTCGCGCAGGTTGAAGATGTAGTGGAAGTTGAGAGCGGTGGGAAGGAAGGAGGAGGAGACGCGAGAGTGCAGATCCAGGGCCAGCTGCACCACAGAGGGGCAGCTCGAGGACAGGGCACTGCTGAAGCCCTGGCTCTGGAGGTGCTGGGACAGGATGGACGTGTAGATGGAGCATAGGGCCTCTGCTCCGGGGAACGACAGAGCGAACACAGAGAAGTGCCTCTGTAATGAAAAGACAAGGTAAGTTTATTTGTATTACACAGTTCAACAAAACAGGAAAAGAATTTAAAAAAAATTACAGAACATAAAAAAAAGTTAATCCTTCAATTGAATGCACAGCTAAACAGAACTGTTTTGGATTTTAACCACAAGAAGCCAGTGCTGGACTAATGGTATTGTGCTTCCTGGTTCTAATCAGGAAAAGGCATGATATTTACATACGTCATAAAATCCACCATTATACAAACAAGCCCCGCTCCACGTCTTTGCTTGTGGTTAAACGCTAAGAGTGAGATCCAAATGTGCAAATCCACCGTATGTGAGACTGCAGTGTGCTCACTCCCAGAGCAGTCACTTTGACGGCTTTTAGTTTTTGGAGGGTGTAAATACATCTAATGTGCATCCTTGATCTTCATAACTTTTTTCTGTATCTCTATGCAGTTTATTTCAAAGTAATTATTTTTTTATAAAATGTTCTTTTACTTTTAAAATGTGAGTCAATCTACCTTTTTCCACTAGATAAAATTGAGTGCTAGTTACCAGAGCATCACACTTTTTACTGTCGCAAGTTAGCATTTCCCTTTTTGGTGCCGTATTTCATTCAAAAAAGGAAAATACCTGGTGTAACACTGAAAAATGTTTGGGGCAATTTATCAGAATTCCATTTGTTTGAATGGGAGCAGTCAAAATGACGACTCTAGGAGTTCTCATAGTTACACAATTCTCAGTGTTAGAGTTAGTGTTAATATCGATGCATACATATTGCATATTACTTGAAAATGACAGCGAGGCTTAGCAGGCTTAGGCTTAATCTAAAGAACAACACACTTTTGGCTTTTTGGATTGCCATTATCACATGTACATATAAATTGAGAAAATACAAAACAGACCTTAGATGAATTTAAATGCAAATTACTTGTTACTTGTTATTTGCAGCGTGTTGTAGCCCTTGAGCAACTCAACTCTATGTACATTAGTGGTACAAAGATTTTCCACATTCAATTGACTTTTAATAACTAAATTTGATTAGATTTCCTTCACTGAAACAACAGGGAAGCCAATTAACATTTGAAACTGTTCACATTAAACAAATTATCAAACGAGCAGTGTGTTTCTTCCCCAAGGCAAGCTGTCATTCAGAATAGCTGTGGTATAGCTTCTAAAAAATCTGTTCAAATCCAATTAACTGTATGGGACTACAACATTATCATGTGGCAATAATTACAGTAAAATTATTTATATGGGCACTTAATTTTAATGCATGGGTTTTATATTGTGTTTATTATGTGATAATTCATTCACTCCATACTGTGATGGTAGTAGTAGTGATAAACTACTGCTATAGCCACAGCTGGCCTAGGGCACACTGACAGAAGCAAGGCAGCCGTTATGTGGCTCCGACCACCACCGACCATTCACACACACACAACAGACAGCACTAGATCATATACGGAAGCAGAAGTAAATACAACAAACTTCCTATTTATGCCTAAACTTAACCAGCCATTCCCATAAAATAACCCCAACTCAGCCTTAACCCTAACCTTAACCATTTTAATCAGATGCCTAAAATTTAACCAATCACCACTTAAGGACTTATTAGTCTAAAACTAATACGAAAGTATGATCGTTACTTTTGGTTTTGTCCCGATTCCGTGTACAGTATGATCTAGTGCCGACTATGGAAGACTATTGGCACCTTAATTAAATTGTCTATTCATTTGTCAAATGGCTATGCATCATGTTATTTTAGTATTTATTTTGTATTTGTATTTGTCAAAGTGTAATGTTATATCCAATTTTGACATTTAATGTTCTATTCCAAAAGTTCTAATGGCAATTCAATATGTAAAGTGTCGATACAATGTCTTTATATATTGCAAATTACAAGATTTTGAAATGAATAGCATATTGCCATGGAAATTTGGCCTCTTTATTCATTGTTCTATTCATTCTTAACATGGCATTTAGTTTAAAGTTGTATTTGGCAAAATTGCATGTTATATCCTATTTTGACTTGTATTCCACATTTGAGTATGTTACGTTTCATTTAATGTGTTGTGAAACAGCACCTCCCTCTGGATTGCATTGCATATTGCATATTGCATTGCCACATGGTTTGAGTGCAACTTAATTCAATATGCTATGCAGTTCATGACCCCTGGGAAGGCGGGCCCTGGTCCGCTCTCGGCCAATCAGAGACGAGTCTATATATATTTTTTTTTTTTTTAGAAGACAAAAAAAAAAAAAAAAAAACTACTGGTATTTTAACAAACACTTACATAGAACCTCCTTAGAGTAACTTGGAATCTTCATGAAGGGTGATCTGTTACTTCCAATCCGTCATAACAGCATTTACTTCCAGCAAAAATCAACAACACAGCGCATCTAGCTAGGAGGATATAGACTCGTCTCTGATTGGCCGAGAGCGGATCAGGGCCCGCCTTCCCAGGGATCAAGAACTGCATAGCATGTTGAATTAAGTTGCACTCAAACCATGTGGCAATGCAATATGCAATATGCAATGCAATCCAGAGGGAGGTGCTGTTTCACAACACATTAAATGAAACTTAACATACTCAAATGTGGAATACAAGTCAAAATAGGATATAACATGCAATTTTGCCAAATACAACTTTAAACTAAATGCCATGTTAAGAATGAATAGAACAATGAATAAAGAGGCCAAATTTCCATGTCAATATGCTATTCATTTCAAAATCTTGTAATTTGCAATATATAAATACATTGTATCGACACTTTACATATTGAATTGCCATTAGAACTTTTGGAATAGAACATGAAATGTCAAAATTGGATATAACATTACACTTTGACAAATACAAATACAAAATAAATACTAAAATAACATAATGCATAGCCATTTGACAAATGAATAGACAATTGAATTAAGGTGCCAATTTCCATAGCCGACCCACAAACAACAGACAGCAATGTGGGTGAAGTGTCTTGGCTAACGACACAACAACTGTTGCGGGGAGCAGTGTAGTGTGCACCCATCGGGAGCGCGCATTGAGGGAGCGTGCGCGTCATTGTAGCTCACTGCGCGCACGGGTTCAGGTGCTTCTATTTACCATAGAGCGTGCGCTCAGAGAAACTCTATCACATCCTCGCACCAAGACAGCATGAAACAAATCCTGTAAAAACAGCCATATAGGACAAGATTCGACCCACACGGACCACTGGTGAGCATTAATCTGGCCCTGATTGTATGTATTTAAATATATGTGACGCTGGGTCGAAATAGAGCGTATATGCGAATGTTCTAAATACGGCTTCAAGAGCCGTTCAAGTCTGTGCGTAACTTTCGCTACTCACCACAGACTATAAGCAATGGACTTGTATATTTATTTTGGACTCCTTAAACGGTCTAATTCTAAATTAAAATATTGGACTGCACTAATTGGACCATTTATGAAAATAGTTTATAGTATAAAAGTTGGTTTAAGTTGAATTTAAAGGGGAAGGGTAAAACAGACCAATTATTCTTGTTTAAAAATGACTTCAGTTTAAAATACCTGTAAAGAATCCCTATTATGAAAATGTTGAATGTTGAAAGTGAATGTGAAATATTGAACGTTTTAACTACAAAATACAATTAAACAATAATTTCATTATATGTCAAACAGTGAATAAAGTTCATGATAATTTGTTAAAATCTATTATAATATGAGATCTTTGGTTAAAACAATTAATTTTGAAAGTCACTTTGATAAATGTGCATATAAAATAGTAAATAACCTTTAACAGTAAAAAGCACTTAAAATAGTGATATTATGAGATATTATTAAAAATATATTAAGCTTAGCGTACATCGGACTGGCAACTGATTATATCCGTCGCATATGAGTTGCTGCCCCGCACACATCGACAATCTGACGAAAACGGGCAACTCCCAGTAGCAGACCAGTCTCGGGAATAACAGCGCGTACATCGACAGCAACTGGCCTCAACTACAGTGTGTTTTCTGACATAAACTGTTGCGGGCTCGCAATACACGCAATACACACACGTTGTCGGAGCGGCGCATGGAGCGCGCACATCGGGTCATATCTCCGAAACTGAGGACAACTAGTTGCCGAAAAGTAGAACACGGGCAACTGACTGAAACTGGAGACCGACTGATCATCTCCAGTTGTAAGAGCGCGCACATCGACCGATTTCGGCAACTGATCATCTCCCACCATCTCCTCTCAGTTGCCAAAAGCCGCCTTGCAACTAGTTGTCCCCAGTTTCTCTGTCGATGTACGCTAGGCTTTAAAGCCCTTAAATGTTTTTCTATTATTACTAATCATATGAATGCTTTCTGTTTAAAGATTTTCAGCCGCTGTTTTCTGAACATTTCAATAAACCGAGTGAAACCGGCCTAAGGTGGTGTCAGAGTCCTTCCTATTCAAGTGGGGAAAGCTATATGGTTCAGGGTGCACTTGACAACAACAGTTTGGCACTTTCCAGCCGCAGCCGCCTCGCTGTGGCACCTGGTATCCCCAGAGGTCTCCCATCTCAGTCCTGACCATGCTCTGTCCTGCTTAGTTTCAGTTGTCTGATGGGATTTGGCTTTCCCAAAATACCCAAAACAAATTGAGAAGACTTTTGTTTCAGGGGGAAAAAATAGCTCTGTAAACTGAGAATTTGGCACAGCCCAAACCCCACATTTACACACCTCCATCTTCAGTAAAAATAAACACACAGGTTACGTCCAGGAATGACTTTACCTTGAAATGAGCCTGACAACATACACCAGCAGTGAAATATACATTTAGAACAGGCATATATACGTTAAACGCTGCTATGTTTAGGCTGGAGTACAGGAATAAGGAGCAGTGTTTCAGAATAAACTTAAGAAACTTCAAAAAATAAAGTTGTAAGAAAACAATTCCGTCTTACCCCCACGAGAAAATGTCCTCAGGGATCACACTGTGTGCGTGCCTCGCATCTCTTTAAAATGAAAGAGAGATACAAGAAAAGAGAAGGCTGGCTGCTGAAACTCTGGGATTTGACAGTAAGTACTATTTTGGTCAGAGCAAGTAAACTAGCTCAGGCAATTGTTCGGCCGCTGAGGTCGGCTGTTATCTATGGAGCTGGTTCATAGACTGGACCCATAGTTGCTTTTGACTTGTCTTTGCTGCAAAACATCTTCAAACAATGGAAGAAAGGACAATGTGTTTTTTACTTATGTGCTGTTGACATTTCAATCAAACTCCATTTACATAAAAAAGGCTTGCATAGAGAGAGAGTGCGTCTGGTCTAGATTGAACTATTTTGCATGTGTGCGTAAAAACTGTAAGGTACGCATAGTGCTGGGTATAAATCGGAGATGTGAGTGTTAGTTTTATCTTAAATAATAGATCCTGTTTGATGTGTGCATAACCTGAGTGCTCTTATTTTCTTGTGTTTCTCTGATGTGCGCAACAATGACACTGACATTTCCACTGAGGGACCAAAAGGTTATCTTATCTCAGCAAAATTGGCAAAAAAGCCCTCGGAAAAAGGGTATGAGATGTCAGTGATGATTCTCAACACAGCTACATTAGTGCCATATATAGAATTCTGTGACACAATCAAAAACAAACACCTGGGCATTTCACAAGTTCTCTGCCAGATCAGTCTACCACAGTGAGACAAGACTCCTCAGACCGATTGAGATTTCTCCTTCAGCTGATTTTAATTTGAGTTTTTTTCTGCCTCTAGATCAGGCAGAGGCCGAGTCTGGGTGAAGCTGGGTCGCAGGGAAAATGTATGAACATGCAGAGATAGAATCAAACCATGTAAAATGTGCACCGTTATTTTACAGTGCACACGCACCTGGAATAAGAAAATAAGAATCAATCGTTTGTGGAAAGTTTTACAGTTCATTGTTTGTATCAGAGTTTTTATAATCATGAAGGTAATTTGACCAACTTTAAAAAGGAAATCCAACTGGTGTGATTGAAATAAAACTGGACAAAATGCAATTTTAATAATGTTAACTTTGAATTATTGCTTATTGCATTCAGGGTTCAATGTTTATGGGAGAATAAATGGAATGGTTGTTTTCTTGACTGTTTTTCTGTCCGTCTTTTGTGTATTTTTAATGTGCTGCGAGTCCAAGACCAATTTCCTATGAAACGTAATAAATTAAACTTCAATCTTGACACAAGATGGATCAAGAATGGACACAGTGCAGACACAGACAGGAGGGTCCTGGACAAACTAACATCAATGCTGGACCATGACTGTGACCCCCTGCAGGACACTCTGGCTACTCTGGAGAGCAGCTTCAGTGACAGACTTATTTTATCCTAACTCTTTGAAGGAGAGGTTTTGCAGGTCTTTTCCTTCCTGCTGTCAGACTGTACAATGAGGACTAATGAACACTGCCAAAATGATCTCACGTGTCATGCGTCGGTGCAATATCCTTACCTTATGGCAGAATGTGCAATAACCACTTGTTACTGTCACTTGAGTCCCTGTGTCCCAGAGCCTCATGCTGCTAACACGTACAGATGTAAACATACTGCTGCTAACACGTACAGATGTAAACATACTGCTGCTAATGTACAGATGTAAACATACTGCTGCTAACACGTACAGATGTAAACATACTGCTGCTAATGTATGGCTGTAAACATGCTGCTGCTAACACGTACAGATGTAAACATACTGCTGCTAACACGTACAGATGTAAACATACTGCTGCTAACACGTACAGATGTAAACATACTGCTGCTAATGTACGGATGTAAACATACTGCTGCTAATGTACAGATGTAAACATACTGCTGCTAACATGTACAGATGTAAACATACTGCTGCTAACAAGTACAGATGTAAACATACTGCTGCTAATGTACGGATGTAAACATACTGCTGCTAACACGTACAGATGTAAACATACTGCTGCTAATGTACGGATGTAAACATACTGCTGCTAACATGTACAGATGCTAACATATAACTACTGTACATATTGCTTGCACAAGAATACACAGTACTTTATACTTGCCTCTTATTTCGCCAAAGGTAAAACATGAGTTAGAGATTTGTCTTATTTAATTAGTACAGCTATTGTTCACTTATCTTGTGTTGTGTGCTCCTCATTCCTACTGTTCTATTCTTGTGACGCAATACTATAATGTCCCCACTGTGGGACGAATAAAGGATCTCTTAATCTCAATTAGTTTAAAAAGACATGCCATATTAGCACAGACTCTCCCGGGCCGCAAATAGCCCCCAGGCCGCAAATAGCCCCCGGGCCGCGTGTTTGAGACAGTTGCCAGCTTTTCACCTGCTCTTGCCCTGCTACTTAACTGCTGCAGCTCCAATACCTGCTCCAGCTCAACCTTTAATTTTCTTTTTTAACCCGTCATCCATCGAGCTGCTTTAGTGTTTGCTCTGAGGCCCACATGTGAAAAGTGAAGTCTTACCTGGAGGCGAGGGTTGATGGTGAAGCTGCCGGCCGTGGGGTTCATGCAGGTCACATACTGCACGTTGTGAATTTCCTTCAACACCAGCTTATTCCGGTCATACCTGAGTACAAACGTGACCGCAGAAACAAAATGGATTAGAGTACACACACGTCACTGGTGATCCTGTTTTGGTAGAAGGAGGAGGCATTGATTGTAAACACTCCACCATCTAACTGGTGTGTCTGCTTTACCATGACTAACGTCTGTAGCTTAATTTGTTAGTGTCTGTAGTAGGGGTGTGACGATATATTGCGATACTTTCTCTCGCGATTCTTTTATCGATATGCATTTGCCAAGTATCGAAATCAATTTTGAAAAAAAAAAAAAAATTGTTTTTGTTTTTTGTTTACAATTTTCTTTTTTTTAAAATTGGTATTAATACTTAATATATTGCTACATTATGCATCTCCATTCCATTTATCATGAAATAAAGTGTATTTTTTCTTTTATTTATGCCATCAATTGGCATATTGTATATTTCTGACCAATATATCAATAATCGTCATATTGTGATAAAATCGTTATCGTGATATTATCGTCATCGTGATATTATCGTTATCGTGATATTATCGTTATCGTGATATTATCGTTATTGTGATATTATCGTTATTGTGATATTATCGTTATCGTGAGCTTTGTATTGTGTATAGTATCGTATCGTATCGTGAGGTACCCTTAGGTTCCCACCCCTAGTCTGTAGGTTAAAAAGGGTCAAATCTGTGTTTATCAGTGGTTATAATTAAGTGGTTTTTGTAGTCTTTGTAGACTACAAAAGCTTTTTGTTTAGAGCTCTGTCTCGCCATACGCCAACGCATGAATCATATTTTTATGTACAGATAACTAAATGAAATGTAACTTCAATTAGTCTGATTGTTATAATTTTGAAATGAGTTAGTCAATTTGTTACAAGCTTATCTTTTGCATCTGTGCCCATCTTTCTGTGTTTAAGAACGTGGCACACGATCTACACTGGACTACACTAGTCCAGCTCCAGTACATAACAGTTGATATGTTTCACTTTGCGCAGCCGGTTATCCCTCTCTAAGCTTGGGTCTTCTCCCAGAGACCTGGGAGGTATCTTTCCTGTCCCAATCACCACAGCACCACTGTCACTTTTACCTTCCAGACCCTCTCCAGCTCCTCTCTGAGCTCCCCTCCTCATCTCGACCTTTTTATGCTCTTTTTCCTTATGTTACCATCACTTGGTGGAGTTTATCATTGACTCCAAAAAGAAGAATGTCTCATTAAAAGCATTCCTATAATGATAGAAGTCTCAGTGAGGAGGAAGTGAGTGAGGCGATGAAGAGGTTGACAGAGGCTAAAGCGTCTGGCATGGATGGATGTGCTGTGGAATGTGTCACGAGAGAGAGTGCAACCGTGTGTGAGATTGTATGTTTTATGAATGGTGTAGTTGAGTGAATAATGGGAGGCGTGTAGTGTACAGCTTTATAAGGGCGAAGGCGATCCAAGTCCGAATGTGGGAATTATGTAGGAATAAGTCTGTTAAATGAGATTGGAAAGTTGTATGCAAGAATTTTGATAGAAATTGTTGTAGATTTTAACTATAGTACACGCCAAAACAAGAACGCACAAAACATTTTTTAGTCAGTCTGAGCAGGGAGAGAGAGTAGGAGTATGACAATATATCGATATGGTGATGTATCGTGATACTTTCTCACGTAATTGATTATCGATATGCTTTTGCTAAGGATCGATTTAAAAAAAATCAAAATGCAAATGTTTATTTTTTTAAAGCTTTTTTTGAAAACAAAATAAGTATCGATACTTAAAATATGGCTACATTACGCATTCTACAATTTCTGTAAAATGTTCATATTGAATTGATTGGATGTAAGACAGATTAAGTCTCTAAACAGATTTTTACTAAAATGTGCAGGTTAAAAGGCCTTTTTGCTTACACATGACACTTTATCCATTTATCTTGAAATAAAGTGTATTTATTCACTTAATTTAGGCCATAAACATAAGAAAAACATTATCATAGGTATATTTTTGACCAATATATCGCTAATCGCTGCATCGTCATGTTGTGAGATAATGAATATGCTATGGGTGATGAAGCAGTGTGGGTCTGACTGTGCGACAGGTGTGTGAAAAGGCTATCAATAGAGTTAAGGAAGTATTTTGGACGATTATGGATCTGAAGAATGAATATGATAGAGTTGACAGCGATGCATTGTAGCAAGTGATTTGGACGGTGTAGGTGGTAGGCTGTTGAAAGGAGTGAAACGTTTTCATGAATCTAGTCGAGCTTGTGTGAGAATAGCTGACGGGGAATGCGTGATCAGTTCTCTGACTGAGGGATTACGTCAGGGGTGTGTGATGTCACATGGCTGTTCAATGTCTGCATGGATGTAGTTGTGAGAGAAGTGAATGTGTGAATGTTGTGAGTCTGTTCCCATTTACTGATGATACAGCATTGGTGGCTGACTCAGAGGAGAAATTGAAGAGGTTGGTGTGATTGGTAGAGTGTGTAGAAGAAGGAAGTTGAATGTGAATGTTGGGAAGAGTAAAGTAATGAAGTGCGCAATAGAACAGCAAGTGAGTAGTATGAATATTTGCTTGAATGAGCAGAAGCAAGACAACAAGTCAATGTGTTTAAGTATTTGGGTTAAAATGTGAGTGCAGGTGGCAGCTGTGCGAAAAAAGTTGCACATTGGGTAACTGAGGGGAGCAAGGTTCTTGGTGCAGTGAATAGAGTGGTGAGAGGTAAGAATGTAAATGTAAGGGTGACAAACTGTTTATAAGAGAGGGTGGTTGTGCCAAATGTGTTGTAGGGTGCAGAAACATGGGGCATGAGAGAAAGTGAAAGGAAGATAAGGAATTTGTTTGAAATGAAATGCTTGAGAAGTTTGATTGGTGTGCTAGGATGGATAGAATGAGAAATCTGTCTGGTCTCTCCCAATCTGGTCTCTCACCGTCTGGTCTCTCCCCGTCTGGTCCCTCTGTCATTGAGATCTCCGTTTCTGTTCTCTCTCCGTCAGGTCCCTCTGTCATTGAGGTCTCCGTTTCTAGTCTCTCTCCGTCAGGTCCCTCTGTCATTGAGATCTCCGTTTCTGTTCTTTCTCCGTCAGGTCCCTCTGTCATTGAGGTCTCCGTTTCTAGTCCCTCCCCGTCTGGTCCCTCTGTCATTGAGGTCTCCGTTTCTAGTCTCTCTCCGTCAGGTCCCTCTGTCATTGAGGTTTCCGTTTCTAGTCTCTCTCCGTCTGGTCCCTCTGTCATTGAGGTCTCTGTTTCTGGTCTCTCCCTTTCGGGTCCCTCCCTCCTTGGGGTCTCCCTTTCTGGTCTCTACCCGTCCGGTCCCTCCCCATCTGGTCACTCCTTGTCTGAACTCTCCCCGTCTGGTCTTTCCCCCTCCGGTCCTTCCCCGTCTGGTCTCTCCCTGTCTGGTCTCTCCCTCTGTTCTCGGCTTTGCTGGTCACTCCCTCTGATCATTATTTTCACACAATATGGGGAAGCAAGGAGTGTGAAGGTGAACACATGAATTGCCACAACCTTGGCGGGTGCACTGCCTACGTGAAGCAACAGGGGTAAACCATTTTTTGGTTGCCTGAGGGGTGTCTAAAGATGTAAATGTGGATGAATGATCCGAACTTCACCCTGTAGTCAACCACACTCCTAGGAAGAAATGGTTTACGGCTATAGATAGATAGAAAAGCACTCCTTCACTTCCCTTACCAGGAGACCGGTCATGCTTTCCATACTCTCCGCTCCATCAAGCTAAGGTGTCTCAGTGTGTATCTCAAACAGGCTGAATAATGCGATCGCTGAGCTGTCTCATAAGCTTCTCTCTCTCCACCCCATATACCTGACGCTGGGGGCATATCTGCGAGGGGCCGAGCGTGTCTAAGCCCGTCAGCGCGTGTGACTGACGCAGGAGAACCAGCCGTGTTCAGAAAGAGATGAGCTTCCAAATCCTTTTAAGAGGAATCAGTGAGAGCAGGAGCGAGTGAATTCTAAAGGACTGCGCGGTGTGAGTGAAGGGACAAGCTATTTTGTCAGAAATAGAAACACCTGACCTCAAAGTGCAGGTGCAGTACATGCACTAATGGGCTAAATTCACGTCAAGAGTAAAAATAACAAAATGCTGCAGAGACAACGAAAAGGAAAATGATACAGGCAGTGATGGAGAAAGGCAGAGACAAACAGTGCTGTTTGATTGCACAGTGTGGGAAGAAGAAACAAGTATTGTATTATATTAAGGTCACTATGAAGACAAGGCAAGTTTAATTGTATAGTTCATAAGGCAACTCAATATGCTTAACAAAACGAGAAAATTTAAGTTTTAAAATTTCACAAGGGATTAAAATCATAAATAATCACAGTGCAGTAAAAGGAGTCCCAGACATGAGCTCCTTCTGCTGTTTAGTGTTTAGTGCAGACTTCAAGCTCACCGACAAATTCTCTTTTGTTACCACATTTACATATTTGTATCCCTTTCATCTATTTATTTAATTAATGAACATACTGACCAAATTAGAATATTTCTGTTTTATTAACTCGAATGATAGAAATTGTATAGATAGATATAGATACTTTATTGATCCCTGTAGGAGAAATTCAGGTATCCAGATGCAGCAAAAATAAAAAAATAAATGTATCATTCTAAAAAAATAAAAATAGTAATACTCAGCATATGTGAATCATAGTTTTTTTTTTTTTTAAATAGTCTGGGTTTTTTCAAAAATCAGTTTTTCAATGCACTTTAATGCACTTCACGTCAGCAATGTTATAATGATGTAAATGACTGGTACCAGTGGCTGTAGTCCAGGTGCTGTCGCAGCAGAGTGTGGGGCTGCACAGTTCCGTAAGCGTCCACCTCAGGCATGTTTAGGTCATCTATGAAGTACACCAGCGTCCGGCTGCCAGGCGGACCGAAGTTTCGGCCCGCTTTCTTCTCCAGGGGTTTCTCCAGCACCGCTGTTGGAAGACAGAGGGAGAGAGCTCAGACTTAAATTGCATAGAATAATATTCACATGTAAATTTAAAGGTTAAGTATAATTGTTCATGCTAATGCTAATATATGGTAATCTACAGTCTATAGGATGAGTCATACAGCAGATTTAGTCCCACGTATACAGTGTTTGGAATGTAGCGCCTGTTACAAAAGGCAAGAGGTTTCGGTAACAATGGAAATGTCAAATATCAATGTTGGAGTGGGACTAGAACAGACCTTATATTATAGGAGCGTCAAACCAGTCCTCAAAGGGACGGTGTGGCTTCAGGTTTTAGTTCTAACCCCCTTGCTATATTATGTGTGGACTGACCGAGCGCTGACGTCACCATAGTGTTAGCCTAAATGAGGAAGAGGCGGATTTGAACACAAGCTAGCAGGAACTAATGTCCTTATCTTAACATTTCTTCTGCGGCTTAGCACCATATCAGGGCCAGACGTGTTGCTAAGACGGTTGACGGTTCCCCTGTGAATAAAGGCATCTCATAGATCAATATGGCTCATATCTGGATTTAAAAGGTCAATATCACAATACTGTATAAACACTGGTTCCCAGTGAGAGAGCACTAAACTACAAATTGTTTAAGCCCAAATGATAATTGTGATCCAAACAGTTAATGAGCTACAGGAGATTACGCTCCTATGTAGGAGGGATACTTTTATAGATATCTATTAATTTCACATAAATATGAATATCATACATTTTAATATATGGGCATTTGAGGATGACCAGCGTGACCAAAAACATGTTTATTTTATTGAATGATCCCAATAAAGCAGTCTAATGGATGTTTTGCTCGTACTTCAGTGAAAATGGCAGGAGAAGGCGCTTGACCTTTACTCTGAAGTGGTTGCAAATGGACACAGTCGCTGGGATTGCTGATTATTACCTTTGACTGTGTTTATGGATGGTATTGCACTGTAATCTTATGTAAACTGTTCATTCGCCATGATGTAGTTGTTGTCTGCCTTTTTAGGGAAGTCTGTGTTTATGCATCTTGTTTTTATGATCTTGGGTTTGCAGATCACCAGGATATCAGAATAGCATTAAATCATCGTTGATCTATAGTTGGATTGTTTATTTTTATGATGAAATAAAAATACATAATCGTTGAATCATAGTGCTCTATTCTGTTGATCATGGCTGTATGAAGTGTGAGCACTTCAATGCACAAACGGGCAACATCCGAGATATCTACTTTCTTCCTTCTTCCTTTCTTGTGCCTGAGAATAGACTTTTTTTTTTAGACAAAATCAGATTCAATTTGACATCTTTTGAATATTTGTCCAAAAATGTTCAGTAAAGAATAAAGGGCGAGGACATGTATTTTTCTTCATTGACAGCGCAATTGACTGACCCTTGTTACAAACTGAAAATCTACCAAGATTTCTGCCCAAACTCACAGCTCCAACAAGGACAGAACAGATCAAGATGCAGACACAAGGCCAATGGTTACTCTGGAGGAGCTGCAGACATTCACAGCTCACCTGGGGGAATCTCTGCAAAGGATAATATCGTTTTTCTTTTTTATGCTTGTTTCTTGTTTGTATTTACGTCAACTATATGTGTTAAAAAAAGAAATGGAACAAAGGGTGAGAGCCAATCCAGACAACGAACGACCCTGCACTCTCATCTCTTTGTGAAGTTTCACGTACCCAAATGCCTCGTGTCCAAATCATCCTCAGTTTCAGTGGATTGTTGTGAAAATAAAAATGCACATACAGTAAATATGCTTAAGCAAGAAGACATTTAATACACCAGCGGCTGTGACCTGAAGTTCTGTTGCATTGAATACTTATTATGTTATTTTATTGTTGTTTGTTTATTGTTTGTTATTGTTAGCTACTTTTAGTTTTGTGTGTATGTATGCATGTGTTTCTGCTGCTACTGGACACCTGGATTTATTCCTCGGGGATCAATAAAGTATCTATCTATCTATCTATATATCTCGTCCTGATGAGAAAGCGGAAGGATCGTAAGACCACAGACAAAACCAGTCTAGAGGTCTCTACATCAGCCCGGTAACCCCTGATGAATTCTGGACCAACGACACTTACTGACACTCCCCTTTGCACATTTGATATATTGCATTTACAGAATCTCTTTTAGTCTTAGCAGGGACAAAGATAGAGTAGAGCGTCCACTTAGCCTCCGTAGATCAGGCCTGGGGGGAAATGTTTTTCAGACTGAACTCTTGGAATTCTTGGTCTTCCTTCCAATGTCAAAACTGAATTATGCGACAGGATTCAGTCTTGAAAAAGACAAAACTGTGAATTTGTGAAAAGGGTTCTTTCACCTTGCAGCATGGATGAGGTAGTGTAGTAGTTGAAGGGCACGTTTTTGACTATGTGTGAGTCGGTGTGCAGAGTTCCCAGCGTGTCTCCGATCAAGACAGACTTCCCGGTACCTGCACCCCCCACCAGCATGACGGGCCGGCGCAGCTTCAGCAGCCGCTCCAGAAAGAACCGCACACGAATGGTCTCAGCGGTGTGCACCAGACATGCCTATGAAGTAAATGTTGTTATAAGTTCGGAGTGTAGATTGGACAAGGATAGTGGACCACAGGCTTCTTGTGAGATAAAGTTTATGGAGACACGACCAGATCAGCATGGTCTGAGGTCTGAGGTGTGAAATTAGTCCTGAGCAACCTACAACCAATGTGTTTATACTGTCCATGTTGGAATAACATCAAGGGGCTTCAAACACTTCTCAAGGGACACTTGATATAACACTTTATTATTACATCACAGACCCTGGAAGGATTCAATCAAAGATCCCGATGACAAACAACACAAAAGCCAGAACCAATAACTTCAGTAAGAGCGGGCTGGAAAGTGCAACACGCAAACTGTTCCCACTGGGATTCGAACCAAAGACATATCGCTATTCTTTTCCTCCACTGCTGTGTGAATGTTCCACTGACTTCGGTCCACTGCGAGTTCACAAACATATTATTTACAAGAAGACAGGACCAGACCATGTCAAAACCTTAAGCACAAATGCACCGCGCTCATGAACAGGTCTTAAACAATATACGCTTTATACATTTTGATATGGGCTGTTTTTTTGTAATATATTTTGCTTGTCGATGCAGGACAGCGAATAATCAGGACATTTAGGGACATCTATTATTTATGGTTAACTATGGATGAAGATAAACTGTATTGTCCCAAGGGAAATTTGCTGTGGGATACAGTGCTACACAGATCTGCATGAATGAATACAAATGAAAGGAACATTAAAGGAAAAAAAAAAACACTATGCAATTTGTCCATAATCTCCTAGCAAAGCTCTACTATAGTCAGGGGTGCATATAAGTGGTACGCATGTACGCATGCGCGCCAAATATCAGAAATGCGAACTATCACTTGAGTTAGCAAGCGCCTTTGCGTAGTTCATGTAACCCGGGTCATTTTTATCGTCTCCGCTCCTCTCATCTCCGCTCCTCTCCATTATTTTTATGCCGTCTCTTGTAAAGAATCTCGCGGTAGTTGTCTTACTCCTGAGAGAGTTTGAACGAGAGTGGCAAATCTTGCAGAAATAAGCACGCTCTATCCACAGGAGGGTGTGTTGTCGTAGGGAAAGATGCAGGTATTTTTTCCATGATCTAACTTTGTTTCACAATATACAGTGGTTACACTGTACACTCCTATACTTCATTTGACGCGGCTGTCATACTGTGTGCATGATCATACAGAGGAACCGGTGAGTCAACATGTTTGGTTCTGCACGAAGCTAGTAGCTAGCGCTAGCCTTCGCTGCTGGATTATGGAGCCTTAGGGGAGTGTCCATGTCCTCCCCGTGTCTCTAAATCAAAGCTGTGGTACCTACATTTTCCCTTGTATTAATAATGTATAATACTGTTGGTTGTGCCCAAAAGTAAAATGTTGTGAACATTGTTTTGATTTTTGTTTTGTTTTGCATTTTTAAGAGCCCAGTTAGTCATTATTTGACTTGGATTGAGTGAGCTGATCCAAACTTTTGCATTAAAAAGAAGCAAGCATAAAATCTCTGTTAAGAACCACGCGACAAATGGAGTGAGTACCAAACATCATCTCCTCCTGGTACTCATCTGAGAACCTCACTGAAAAACGTATGTGCACCCCTGACTATAGTATAACATACCTCATATATCCAACCTATGTGGATAGAGAGTTTACCTGCAGGGGCATCTCCGGCTCCATTTCAAACTTGGGAACCATCTTGGACCAGGGCTCAAACTTGTTGCTCTCTGGGTGGATGTAGTAATCGAAGACAGTGCCGTGGGAAGGGAACTTCACGCTCTTGAACTGGGCCACCCACCACTGGCTGAACTCCAGTCTGTAGTCCACCAGCTGGGCACACACAGGGGAAGCAGCAGTCAATAGTATTTCTCCTTCCACACAGCTCAGTTGGCCTGAAACACTATTTGCCCACAACCTGAATTCATTTTCTTTCTTTCTTTTTATCTATTTCTAACACTTTATAACAGTTTCTGATAGTCAATCAAATACATCAGACGGAAATAAATGCAGTTTCCATATAACGAGGAAAAAACTACCGCTCTGTCCAGCTGTGAACGACCATATGTTCCTGAAAAGTGAGATACATTTCATTGGCCACACATACAGGAAAAAGTTTTGTTAAATCAAGAAGTCACCATCGGACACAAAGAGGTCGGCTTCAACACACATTCTCAGCAAAGGCATTGTGTACATTAATGCATTTACACATGTTACTGTAGTTGTTTTTTTATAATAGAATGTATACTGTAAGTGAGCTGTCAGAATGTAAAATGTGCAGCAGTATCAGTGGCAGAGAGCGAAGTGTGGGGATGTGGCAGCAAACGCTCTAAATGAGAGGTGACAGAACGATCTCTGCTCACCTGCACACACCTACAGCTACATGTCTGCTCCACTCTCCAGTCAATAAAAGCACTTAGCATTTAAATGTATCTGTGATGGGAAAATAAAGTGGAGAGCATTTGCAGTGCGGGGAAAGTGGTTTTATCCCTCAATACAGTACAGTGAGAACTAACTGGATTGCTTAGCAACTGTCCACCACATTCCCCCCCTGATTTAAATTCTGTGAGCTGTGTGCCGTCAAGCAGGAATGAAGTCCACTTCATTTTCAGATGGATATCTCAGTTTTACAGACCCGCCATTTCTTCAAACCAAAATAACTTTTCTATTACTTTCATAAATAGAGGCACATTATTACACGAGAACCACCGGAGACTGAGTGATACAGACAGCCGCATAATAAGACCCACTTTGAGCTAGTTCGTAAAGGGGCTTTGGTACAAGAAACAACTTTATCATATGGCTTTAAGCTCAGAAAGTCTGCTTTGTAGGAGAGGATGTTCAAATGAGACTGCTGTAAATACAGGATGTTTCTTGGTCTGCATTTTAACAGCGTCACTTTTCTCAGATTTTTTCCCACTGTTTTGTTGTTCTTTGCTGATGCAGGGGAGTGTAAGAACAGTGGTGATGATCCAGGACACTCGACATTCAACAATATTTACAAACATCTATTTACATTCATCATTGCATTTCCTGTGTTTGAATTAGTTGATTTTCTGATCTGTGTTGGCAAATCAATAACCTTGAAAAGTAACTGCTGTTGTGATTTAGGACTATACAAAAATAACTGGATTGAATTAAAATGAGTATTATTGGGTATACTACAAGCATCTACAGCATCTACAGCACAGACTGCATTACATGAAGGAGGTGTGTAAAAAGAAGTACAAAAATGCCTGTTATTGATAAGGAACACCCAGGAAAACAAAAGTTGAATCAACCTTTCTATGTGTAACATTTTGTGAGTTATAACTGACTTCAAAAGTAGATAGCTCTTGATAATTATCACTTCAGTATATTCAAAACGTTGCAGACTGAGTCCTGACTAGAACCAGGAAGTGCAATCAAATTAGTCCAGTTCTCAGGTCTCAGCACTGGCTTCCTGTGGCTCAGAGAGTAGACGTGAACATGGGGAGGCAGCGTTTCAATTTTAAGCAGTCTTCCTGAACATGTGAGACAGACTTCTTCTCTGACAATGTTTAAATCCAGTTTAAACAGTTGTGTTTAGCTGTGCATTGTGATTATTATTCATTTTGTTCAGCACTTTGAGTAGCCTTGTGTATGAACTGTGCAACAATAAAAAACTTGCCTTGCCATAAATCATCCTAAAATGTAACCCCACACAAACTAAGAAACATTAAGCTCAATGAACTGTTGAAGACATCACACGAAATACATCAAAAGGCAGTCTCAGATGTGAGAAGATACTAGTTCTTCAACTCCAAAGGCAATGGTTCCATGGTACTGTACCTGGTCCTGGAACAATGCCCCTCCAAAAGCCCAGACTGCAGCAAACACAAAGTAGAGCTCGTACAGTTCTTTGGGGCTGTCCGCAGGGGTGAGCTCTGGGGTCAGCAGACACTCCAGCAGGTGACACAGCATCTGCACATGGCTCTGCTCTGGGACAGGGATCATCTTCTTAAACCTACACACACACACACACACAGACACACACACATAGTTCAGGTCCAGAAAGAGGACTGTCCCAAGATGCACAAGGTTTACTACTTTATTCTAGTGGGTTTTATTGCCATCCTTGTCTATTGGAAAGTCAGCCAAGTTAAGTCAAAATAGGAGGAGTCAATTTGACAGCTTAGGAAGTGTAGTTACTCAGCTCGTGTAAATTTCTTGATAACGTAGTGACCCTTTGTTTTTTTATATACTTTATTTCTACGTTGTTACTTTCACAAAATTATCTTTACATATTGAAATGAGAAGAGAAGTAGAGCAAGCCATAGTAGTAACCATAACAACATTCTATTAACTCGCAATCAGTTAGCATTACAAAAACCCACCCATTCACCCCTTTTAAGTTAAATTTGAATAAAACTGATGGTAACCTCACTAACTTCTGAATTGAATTGATTTGAACGGGAGTCAAAATTATGGCTCTGGGAGTTCTTGTAGTTTCATACTTTTGGGAGTCTTAGCATTAAGAAATGAAAAATATATATTCCCACAGATATTGTACCTGGAGCGGAGCACCTCCAGACATGGGGGAAGGTACTTGTCGAACAGGATGCTCAGATTGGCCTTCTCTGATTGAATGTCCCTCCTGTCAATCCAGCTGGCCACGGGAGGGTTCCATCCCAGATCCACAGGGTTTATGTACAAGATCCCTGCCACAGAGGGCATGACAGTGTTGGATAGTCACACTATTACCAAGACCCGGGGTCTCAAATTCATTTTGGTCAAGGGCCAAACGTAAATAATATTAATACAGCACTTTTTTTTATTGCTTATCTTTAGCAACTGGCAATATGTGTTTTTTTTTACACTATGAAGGTGTTATGATTAAATGTTTTTGACATGAGATAATATTTTCTGGTGGATAACAATGAGTTTGGTTACCGCTTGGTATGACTCAAAAAAGAACCAACGTTATGCCAATGATTAAAAAAAAATTATGTAACTATTTGTAATTATATTTTGGACTACAACTTTAGTATAGTTGGTTGTTGTCTTTAAAATTAGGTGCAACATGCCAGGGTTCCTCCTCCCATCAATACTGATTTGGCGCTTACTTTGGTGATGCAGTTTATTATCATAAATAAAGTGTTTTACATTTGACACCTGAGGCCAAGAAAACTATGGATCACGCAAGTTCTAGTACCAAATGTCCAATCGAGGACAAAAGTATTGCATTGTTACCATGCATCTGGAAAGGAATTGGTGTGTGCGTGTAGGTTATGCAAATTTTAGGTGCATGGGGAAAGAAGTCTGATTTATAACCTCCTGCGTATATACTGAAGCAAAGTCTGCCTCATGCCCCGCCAGCTTTACACCAGCAGTTCACCACACAGTATAAGGACGTGCAAAGTGACTTTGTGAATGTGAGTTAGATTGAAACATTGCAGACTCAGTGGGAGACTGAGCGCCCAGGCGAGCGGAACTTCAGTGGAACGTGAACTTCTGCTTTTCCAGACTACAATTTAGCTAACGCAGTTTTACGCCGTCTCGTCCTGTTAAAATAAAATGTCAGGATCAAATAAAATAAATGATTGCCTGAGACATGCAGGTGCAGATGTGAGTGAGAAGAAGTCAGCTGTGATCAGTGTGTGTGTGTGTGTGCGTATGCGTGTGTGCGCGCACGTTAGGAGTGTGCGTCTGTCTGAACACATCCATTACTTTTGAGTGCGCAGGAAACGGCAGAAAGTCCTAAGAAGCTCCTGGCTCTGTTCTGTGCATATGCAGAGCTATCGACAATGCTTTGGGAGAGTACAGAAATGCATGACAATAAATAGAAGAGCAGTGTTTACCCAGAAATATGAATAATAAGATGCTACTGTTAGCAGTACTGTTTATAGTTCACAATCTCAGGCACGGAGCAGAACACTCAGCCCATGTGGACACTCTATGATCCAGAGTTCTGGTGACCATTTCTTCAGTGCACGCGAGCCACACCCATCTGGATTCATGGTGGTGAGTAAAGGTTTTCAATATTTGTTATTTTGATGGAGACATAAATATTGTTTTCATCCAGACTCCCAAGTCCTGCAACCAGCATTTAGGACAAAGTGTGATCTCAGTTGCATTTTTTATGTGAACTGTGGGGATGTGAAGAAAGGGTTAGACCAGGAGAGTCAAATTCCTTTTGGTCTTGCCGTATTAACGCTGATGTCTTTTATACCAAGGTCTCCATTGTTGTCCGAGTGGAAAAATTATTTCAAGCTCATCTTTTGCATATGCAGTAAATAGTTATTTTCTACGGTAGGACATTGCATCTAAAACATATTTTGCCGTGTCCCCATTGGAGATGGCAATCATAATCATGATAATCCATTTATGAGACTTGGTCTTAGCCTGAAGCCTTCGCAGGTTCCTTGTGGGACGCGTGTACAGTTCTTCACAGCGGTCATGTCAGGCTCACAGGAACACTTACTCACTTACATGTGATGAAGAGCGCACTTCAGGCTCAGAAGTCGCTGTTATTCTGCTGCTCTGGGTGAGCAAGCACATATTTTTAGCACCCAAATAATGGTTTTACATTAACTTCTGTCAATACATGTTACAAGACTCAAATAATGATCTCATTAATTCATGATTTTAATTGCCTTTATGTCTATCTATCAATTTCTGTTTGGAATTGAAGAATTTGAATACATAACTTTTAGAAAGTAAAGAATGTCTTCTTTATGTTTTAAGGTTTAAAGTGTTTTTATAATAAGACAATGTGTGTAAAGCTAGTTATCAAGCAGTTTTCAATTAGTAACAGTGATGTTTAGAAGAACACTTTAGGCAGCGGATCTTGTAACAGTATTATTGTCTGTCTGGTCCATGAATTATAAGGTTTTTTTAGGTGAAAGACCAACCATCTCTTGGCCTGTCTACAATGAAGCATTATTTTCATTGCTCTGTAAAACAACAGGGAGCAGACTTGCCTCTCAAGTGATTTGACCTACTGCACCCTCAGCTGATGCTTGTCTCCATGGATTAAAAAGGTCTGTTTAACTGGTACAGTTCAATTCCTATTTTTCATATGGTGTGATTCAGGGAGCCAGCGAAAGGAGGACCATAATCTGCCTTTGCTGTCTTGTTAAACCTTTCAAGTATCATCATTATTTATAAAAGTCACAGTAGAATTATTGCAGTCTCAGAGCCTGCATTTTATTGGACACTTATTACCCTTTAATTTAGCTTCACCATCAGTCACCTACAAACACTCATTACCATTACATTTGTAGAGATAGTGTCTGGAGTTATTCTGCCACTGAAGAAACTGTGAAAGCCATCAAAGTGAATGCCAGAGCAGATAAACATGAGATGGATCTATAAAGCTGACACAAGCCGCATCTAAATGGTGGATCTCTGAGCGCTTGTCAATGCACACCACGTTTCATATTACATATCTGAACCCTGCTAATCTCAAAGTATTGACCGAACAAAAGATTTATGGCAAAAGACGGCTAAGATCACTCAGCACTGATAACATGTTTATGGGCATTTGATTGGAATTAAACACAGCGTATGGAACACAGCTCATAAGTTTTTACATATCCATCATGAAAATATAAGTAATATTATGGTATAATTTAGTGTAGAGTAGCATAGTATCGCAACAGTTTTATCCACTGTGAATAGGATGGTCTGAAAGGAGTTGATTGGGAGCACGTTGAATAAATACTGTATTAATATAATAAATTGGGAATGTAGGATGTACTGAGATTCTGGTTGGTTACCTGCCATGGACACTGTTGCCATTGGTTCCCTGCCCTGGACAGTGTTGCCATTGGTTACCTGCCCTGGACACTGTTGACATTGGTTACCTGCCCTGGACACAGTTGACATTGGTTACCTGCCCTGGACACAGTTGCCATTAGTTACTTGCCCTGGACACTGTTGTCATTGGTTACCTGCCCTGGACACGGTTGCCATTGGTTACCTGCCCTGAACACTGTTGTCATTGGTTACCTGCTCTGGACACGGTTGCCATTGGTTACCTGCCCTGGACACGGTTACCATTGGTTACCTGCCCTGGACACTGTTGCCATTAGTTACTTGCCCTGGACACTGTTGTCATTGGTTACCAGCCCTGGACACGGTTGCCATTGGTTACCTACCTTGGACACTGGTGCCATTGGTTACCTGCCCTGGACACTGTTGTCATTGGTTACCAGCCCTGGACACGGTTGCCATTGGTTACCTACCTTGGACACTGTTGCCATTGGTTACCTGCTCTGGACACTGTTGTCACTAGTTACCAGCTCTGGAAACTGTTGTCACTAGTTACCTGCTCTGGACACTGCTGCCATTGTTTACCTGCCCTGGAAACTGGTGCCATTGGTTACCTGCCCTGGACACTGTTGCCAAAGGTTACCTGCCCAGGACACTACCATTGGTTACCTGCTCTGGACACTGTTGCTGGAGTGGCTGTCCGCAGGTGGCTGATCTCGAACAGCAGTCTCATGGAGGGGTTGAGTGGAATGCGCTCATTACTGGCCAGTGTCAGCACCTAACGAGAAACACAAATCACACTCAATGAGGTGACCGTGTGGAGGAGGAGAGTTAAGCACAGAGGCTACAACTGTGAACAGAATATATGAAGACAATGCATGACTTTCAGCTTCTTGTTGTATCAATTTATTCTCCATTCAAGTAAACAAGATTATTATGATCTATGGAATGAATGGGTGCAAAAGAAGACACTATTAGGCCATCTGCTTTACCCCTATTTTAGTCCCTCTTTTGTCCTGGTTCAGTCCTGCTTTATTCCCTCTTTTCTCTTGTTTCGCTACGGCTTTAGTCCTGCTTTGGTCCAACGAGCTCAAACCTGATTTATTCCTGCATTGGTCCTGAACCTGCTCCCGGGTCTGGGCTCCCAGGGCCCAGACCCGTGAGCTGCACCCCTAGGCAGGCTAGATGGCCTCTGTCTCCGTTCTACAGTATGAGTCCTGGATCTACAGCCTGTTCATCCATGGAGTGGATCCCTTTCTCATTGTGTCCCGCCCCCCAAGTTTTAACTTTTTCGTACTGAATTGCAGGACGATCTAAGGGCAGTGATGATCCGGGACATTTATTAACATTTATGTATAATACATGCAAAACTATACTGTACATCATGCACTAAATCTGTTATTTCCCTGATGTGAAAAGCAGCACCTTGTTGTCATCCATGACTGTGTTGAGTGACTCTATCCACATGGGGTCGATGTCTCCGTCCAGAACGATCCACTTGGGCCCGCTGTGGCTCACGTTGGCCAGGTCTCGCATGATGCTGGAGAACAGACCTGCGCATCATAAAAGTTCAGTACGGACATGTTTTCTGAGTTACACTATAGATATTATAAGTTACAGAATAACTTATTATGCTTAAGGGTTAAGGGTAAAAAAGTGTGACAAAAGGCCAAAAATAAGATTTTAATAATCAAAAGACACATTATGTTTTTCATGTATCCAAACACAACCTCTGTCCATTAAAAGTTGCTAGAACATAACTGTTTTATGCATTAGTCAAGTTTCCTATAGCCTCCCTGGTTTATATTATGCAACGATGATTTGACAGAATGTGCTTTGCGTAAGTTTGTTACATATTTTCAGATCAATATTTGATTAAGATATTCTTCTTTTTTTACACAGAGTAGAGACAAAGTGATACTTTATTTATTAAAGGGACAGTGCATATTGAAATACATTAATAAACATTAATAAACATATGTAAACATATGTAAATATGCCAGAATTAGCCAAAGGGTTATCTTTCATCTGTAGTCTCTGGACAGTTGTTATGAGTCCTTTCATATAGTAAACCAATGAAATGTTTCTCAAGTTTAATTTTTAGAGTAAAATGGACGGAAACCATCACGTCCGTTATACATTTTTTGAGGGTCGTTTGTTTTGTTTTTGTTTTTTTATGATTCCTTTTTAAATCAAGTGATTTACGTAGAGTATGTTGTGTTAGACATATTAATCTTGTGGGATTTAATCTGCCACTTTTTCAGACTGAGGACATTTCATTTTCTATGCAACTGGCGTCATAGTAGAATTAATAGTTTAAAATGTCGGCAAACATTTTTTTGTCAATCTTTTCTATTGATTTAATTCACATAATCTCTTCAATATGTCTGTGTTTGAAATATTTTTTTTCAGATCTGTGATAGTAATTTTAGTTTATGAGTTAAAACCTTTTTAAGTCCAGATACTTTACTTGACACTTTACTGTGAATGGACCCATGTAGTAACTTATTGCATAATTACATAGTATCTTGATTACATTATGCACATTTACATTTTTAGTAAAAGTAATTGATAAAAATGGGAAACCGGATGTCATAAGAACATCTCAAACATTCTTCAGACCGGAAGTATTTCGTTTAGCTCCATTCATGATTATACCAAGAACTACAGCCACACACAAAGAACTTCAGATGCACACATGAAGAACGTCAGACGCACACATGAAGAACGTCAGACGCACACATGAAGAACGTCAGACGCACACATGAAAAACGTCAGACGCACACATGAAGAACGTCAGACGCACACATGAAGAACGTCAGACGCACACACGAAGAACGTCAGACGCACACATGAAGAACGTCAGACGCACACATGAAGAACGTCAGACGCACACACGAAGAACGTCAGACGCACACACGAAGAACGTCAGACGCACACATTAAGAACGTCAGACGCACACACGAAGAACGTCAGACGCACACATGAAGAACGTCAGACGCACACATGAAGAACGTCAGACGCACACATGAAGAAAGTCAGACGCACACATGAAGAACGTCAGACGCACACATGAAGAACTTTAGACACACACATGAAGAACGTCAGACGCACACATGAAGAACGTCAGACACACACATGAAGAACGTCAGACGCACACATGAAGAACGTCAGACACACACATGAAGAACGTCAGACGCACAAATGAAGAACTTTAGACACACACATGAAGAACGTCAGACACACACATGAAGAACATCAGACGCACACATGAAGAACGTCAGACGCACAGATTAAGAACGTCAGACGCACAAAGAAGAACGTCAGACACACACAAGGAACGTCAAACGCACACATGAAAAACGTCAGACGCACACATGAAGAACGTCAGACGCACACACGAAGAACGTCAGACGCACACACGAAGAACGTCAGACGCACACATGAAGAACGTCAGACGCACACACGAAGAACGTCAGACGCACACATGAAGAACGTCAGACGCACACATGAAGAACGTCAGACGCACACATGAAGAACGTCAGACGCACACACGAAGAACGTCAGACACACACATGAAGAACGTCAGACGCACACATGAAGAACGTCAGACACACACATGAAGAACGTCAGACGCACAAATGAAGAACTTTAGACACACACATGAAGAACGTCAGACACACACATGAAGAACATCAGACGCACACATGAAGAACATCAGACGCACACATGAAGAACGTCAGACGCACAGATTAAGAACGTCAGACGCACAAAGAAGAACGTCAGACACACACAAGGAACGTCAAACGCACACATGAAAAACGTTAGACGCACACATGAAGAACGTCAGACACACACATGAAGAACGTCAGACGCACACATGAAGAACGTCAGACGCACACATGAAGAACGTCAGACGCACACATGAAGAACGTCAGACACACACATGAACAACGTCAGACGCACACATGAAGAACGTCAGACACACACATGAAGAACTTCAGACACACACATGAAGAACATCAGACACACACATGAAGAACGTCAGACGCACACATGAAGAACTTCAGACGCACACATGAAGAACGTCAGACGCACACATGAAGAACGTCAGACGCACACATGAAGAACGTCAGACGCACACATGAAGAACGTCAGACGCACACATGAAGAACGTCAGACGCACACATGAGAGGGCCACTTTCTTTCATCAGACTTGACCTTGGGCCGACAACCTGGATTGAAAACCTGGGATTGAGCTAGATTGACTGGGTTCTTGAATATAAAATGGGTTATGATACGTCCTTATTGATTCACACCACAGCTGCATTGTATTTGTAATGTTGTGACACAATCATAAAACAAATGACAGAATACAACAATAGGGTCCTCGACTGGTTTTTCTTCCTTTTTAATGTTGATTTTTCCATTCAAATTATCAGGCTCAAATACAGCTTCAATATTTGTGTTTTATTGTTTTGTTTGAGCCACTGCTATTGTTTGAATGGACCCGATTTCAATAATACTGTAATCCTTTAATAGATAGGACTTTTGACCAAATCTCTCATGGATCTCTCAGAGCCTTCAGCCATAACTTCATGAGGAGAGTGTTTCAGAAGTAGTTACCGTCCTTCCACTCGCGGGTGGCGGGGTTAATGATGCCAAAGAGCTCGTCGTTGGTGACCGCTTTAGGGTTGAGGTCTGCCCACACAGGTCTGTGTTTCATGTCCTGGTAGGTTCTGTGCAGAGCTCGCAGCACCTGGCTCTTCCCCGTGCCTGCGTTCCCCATCACAAACACTGAGTGACGAACGGCCAGTAGCTCCTCCAGCTGAACCACCTGAACACAGAGGTACTGTATACAGGATATTGTCTTATTGTAATTAAGTCTAATTGTATTAATTGTATTGATTTCATAAAGCATGAGCACTGGATCTACAGCCTCAGTCCTAACATGCAAGCCAATAGTTAATGTTTGCCTCCTCAGATTTCATTCTGCTTTGTCCATAACAAGTTGAAGTTGTGATAAAACACCTTATCGACGTTGAAGTGTTATATTACAACATGAAAACCTGCAGCTTGTATTCAGCAGCGCAGACAAAATGTACTCTCTTCAAATGTAGCTGGTGCTCTTCATAGTCCTGCTCGTGCTGTATTCATTATTCCAAGGATTGTACATTGTATTTGTATTGGTGCACCTGCCTAGTCCTTGTTAGTCAGTAACACTGGAACTCCCAGTGCAGTCAATATGAGAGCTTATTCATTTTGGAAGTTTAACTACTCCGCATATGTATGTTTTTGGTCTCTATATGTAGTTTATGTCTATGTCATAATGACACAGACATAGTGCTGTTGCATTTAAACACTATTGTTAGCTATTTTTTGAATTATCTATGCATGTGTTTCTGCTGCTACTGGACTCCTGAATTTCTTCTACGGGGATCAATAAAATATCTATCTGTGAAATTATCTCTGGATCATTGTGCTAGTTACCATAACAACACACTGTATCAGCTAGCATTTTGTTCTACTGTACTTATTTCATATGAACCAATTTTAGCATGTACTAAAGAAAAAAAAAACATACAAATGACTTAATATTTATAAAAGATGTTTTTGGGGATATTTTTCTGCTCTGACTGCTCTGGGAGTTCAATTTGGTAGTTTCAGAATTTCGAGAGTTCTATTGTTAAATAAGTAGCTTTTCTTTGCACCCATTTTGATAAACACTACACGTCCAATTGTGATCCCAGTCTCCAAACACTGAAGACTTGAACTAAAAGTAAATTCAATGCTTTCATGTGGAAGAAAGCTAACCAATATTCACAGTTTAAAAACTTTTGGTACGTTGTCATGTTCAATGAATTATCATGACATAAAATAACTTCCGTTTCACCAGATTTGATCAGATTGGATCTTTTGTTCCAAAAACTGATTTTGGGCCACACTCCACACTCTGCACTCTGGTCCCAAAACAATTATCACACAAACAAGAAGAGAGGATCCTGAGTGCCACATGTAATTATATATTTGTGGCCATACTTGCATGCAAAAGCCAGATCCCGTCAGACCTCTGAAGCTGTGCAGGACAGGGCCTAATTAGTGCTATGATGGGAGACCTCTAGGAACACCAGGTGCCACTGTGGGGTGGCTGCGGCTATAAAGTGCCGTCATGTCCTTAGGCAAGACACTTTGTGTGTGTGCCCACATTTTTTATTTCCACAATGTAGATTACTGATTTGGTAATCATGCCGTTAGAGTAGGTTGAAATTAAGAAAGGTATCAGAGAGAGCCAATCTATCTATGATATGATTTGACGTAGATTTTAATTCTATGCCTTATTCTATTTTTACTTTAATTTGTTTGTGATTTCTTTCTTTGTGATTTCTCGTTGCTCACATGGCAATAAAAATAATCTGATTCTGATAATTCATCAAGCTACAGTTCTCTCAATTTACCAGTCGGTCCCCTCCCTCACCTCTAGTAAGTAAGTAAGTAAGTAAGTTTTTATTTATATACCGCCTTTTCACTGCAGATCTGAGTCTCAAAGCGGTTTACAATTGTTAATTTTGGGCATTTGTCTCTCACTCCACAGAGATGGGAGTGGGGTTGCCAGTACAGGAGGCACATGCCAGAACTATTGTACATATTTTTAGTGGTAGGGGAAACCGGAGTACCCAGAGGAAACCTACGCAGACACGGGGAGAACATGCAAACTCCACTCAGAAAGGCCCTGGTCCGACCGGGATTCGAACCCAGGACCTTCTTGCTGAGAGGCGAGAGTGCTATCCACTCAGCCACCGTGCCGCCACTAGTCATAAGCTTTAAGTAATGACCGAAAGGACGAGATCCAAGCAGTCCACATGAGTTCCCCCCGCAGAGTGGCTGGGTGCATCCTTAGAGATAGGGTGAGGAGCTCAGTCACTGGGGAGCAGCTCAGAGTAGCTCACGAAACAGTAAATTCCAGTGTTTGCAGTGTGTTTACATTTCCTGGTATTTGCATATATTGTAAATGTTGTCAATGTGAAGCACTTTGAGTTGTATTTTGTATGAACTGTGCTTAAAAAATGCATAGTATCATAAAGGTTCAAATCAATTCAATTCAACGTATTCTTGTATAGCTCTAAATCCCAAAAGTAGTTTTCTCTAAGGACTTTACAAAACCGTCGAATTCGCCAACACAGATCAGAGAATCAAACCGTTCCAAGAAATACAATCATAAAAAATGCCATTGCTTCATAAGGGGCAGATGACCAATGTCCACAAATGTTGATAAACGTCCATTTAAAAAAAAAAAAACAATGGTATTTACAGTTTACTTGTCGTTTTTGTCAGTTTTAGTCGTCCATCCTGGTGTGTGGATGTGAATGGGTTGGGGGTTGATGCAAAACCATAGAGACCGTGTTCTGACTTGGAGGTGACCAGAGAGCGCTCTCTTCCTGGTGCACTCAAATACACTCACTCTCACAGCCGGCAGCTCAGTCGGTGTTATCGACAGCTGCTCAATGCATTGAACCACTGGGCTGCGCTCTCTGTCCCAGCCCGATTACTGCTTCATGTGCACTGGCTAATGCTCGTAGGGGCTGATGCAGGAGGTATGCTGGTCCCCTGCTGTTCTCTCCGTTCATAAATGCTCGATCAAACAAGGATGGAAAGTTCAGGCTCGGAGGGGGGGGACTGCTATCGAGTAGACAGATCCACTCTCCTGCCACTTCCTATAGTGCGCATTAAGAACAGAAATGGTGATAATCCTTTATGGCTGCTAATTTGATTATGTGCTAATTTGTGTATATATGACAAGCCATAGGGAAAAGGGAGGGACACAAGCCGCACAGGAGAATTCAAAGCAAATCCACAAAGAAGGTTTTATGTTTCAAACCCCGGGTTATTCTCCTTTTATCCAGAATTTGTTAAAAAAGATCAGGAACTAACTATTTAGATAATACAGTATACTGTATGTGATGCAAAGGTACAGCTATGTGATGCCTCCCCTTCCTGAGCTGAAAAAGCGAACATTTTGAGAGTGCTTTTTGTGCTTTCAGGTGATATCACGATCAAATCACCAATCCTTCAAATATTATATGATTTAAATAGAAGAATGCTAACCACCTAGCTCAATGAAGCACAATAGGGAAGTGCTCGAGGACAAAGTTTTGCTCCAATTCGTTCTGGTTCAGTAATTGTTTGGGTCACACTCACTATTTTGGGCACATTATTTGGTGGTTAACCGCACTCTATGATTCTGGTGTTTATATTTTTTTTAAATTGTCTTTCAAAGTACAGATATGAGCCAATCGTATCGACCGATCAGATGCCTTTGCTTAGCAGCCCTTTAAGCATCTGTAAGGGATGTCGAAGCTCACCCCTTGAAAACAAATGCCTGTATGAAGAAATTGGCTTCAGCTAGCTTATGTTGACGTCCGCACTCGGCCCGTCCACTCCGACTCTACGGAATTTGAACCAGTCACATATTTGGCCACAATTTAGTTGAAAAGTCTGGATCTGACTTGTACTTGACTCTCTAACGCTTTACAAGTACATATTTGTCCAATCAATTCACTGGAGGTAGAGGAAGATGAGCCAAAGATACATAGCCAGTATCATTTTCAAGATTTATAACCGAATACAAATCACAAGAGCAAACTTCTGAGGCCACAGCTGCACAGTGAAAGTGTTCCCGGACGGAAGAAGACTAATCATTATAATAATTAGGTATAATCTTAACAGAAGACCTAATATAAAGAACAAGAAGTGCTAATCTCATTGATGTCATAATTAATTACTCGCAATTAAATGCAAAAATGTTTGCTTCACATGTCATTAATCATTCACTCCATAAACTATGGTGATAAACTACTACTGTAGCCATAGCTGCCCTGGGGCACACTGACAGAAGCAAGGCAACCAGTGTGTGCCATCGGCCCCTCCAACCACCAACCATTCCCACACGCTAGACTCATTCTCGGCAGAGTGGTTGAAGTGTCCTGCCTAAGGACACAACAATTGTTTCCAGCCGCAGCCGTCCCGCTGTGGCACCTGGTGTTCCCAGAGGTCTCCCATTACAGTACTAATCAGGCCCCACTCTGCTTAGCTTCAGATGTCTGACAGGATCTGGCTTTCACCTGCAGGTATGGCTACAATCCATGGCTAATAATCCAATCCTCTCTGAAAAGAAAGTATGTGTCTATTATAACCCACTCTATCTCTGAATTTGTTATTGCTTTTTATAGAGCATAGACATATTGAACACAGTAAAAAATTCTATTCTTTTGTTGATGAATATTGTGGCTTGATGAAAACTATTATTTTCCTTCAATATTTCTACAGTTTCTTTCTCTTTGTGCCTTCTCCATTTCAGTGTTAAGTGGAGAGCTGTAGTTACAGTCCTGTACACTGTCATTATGTGTTTTCCGTGTGCATTTGACCTCCGGCACATCGAGCTTATTTCCCTGTGGTTCTCTCTCTCATCCATCTCTGACACACACACACACACATATTCGCACACACAAACACATACCCAGTGCGTGTTAGGGGCACCAGGTAATAAGACCAGCCGAATCAGGTCAGCGGCACTCGGACCCCCCAATCGCTAAGCACCGCCTCGCCGCTATATTTGCTCAATTCATCCCGATCCAACTGACACTAATACCCTCTTCCTCCTGGAACATTATGACGTGAGGTAAATAGCTTTTGTGGAGAAGTCCGATAAATCTAAATGAAAGCACTACAGCTGTAATATCAGTGGAAATTGTGGGAGATGAAAGCCCATTTGGGGACTTGGCAGACATCTTGTAACAGTGTTTGGCTGCACAGCCCACTCGCGCCCTTCAGAGACCGCAAGATTCCTGTAATCACAACATAAATCTGATAAACAGCTGCGGATGAGAATTGGAACTGTAGGGGGGATGTGTGAAATTGGGTTTGGGTTATTGACAGCAAAGAGAGCTGAAATGAGTTTGGAAGCAGACTTTTTGAAGTTAACTCTCCCTCACATTAAAAAGCAGGTTTGTCTTACACTGGCTCAGATACACTCTTGGATAATGAGCAGATCATGAGCTCAAGTTAGACGCCAATATCCTGCTTTGAAAAAATTTGTTACACTTCTCATCATTCATCATCTAAATTCATCTTCTTGTGTGTCGGTGTATTATTTCATGGCTGCCTTCCCCGAGTGAAGTCAATTGGGTTTAAATGCTTGCTTATGTTCAAATTGGCTCCTTCTGCATTCATGATCGGACTTGTTCTTGACTCTCTGACTTCTAAGATATGCCAATTTGGGTAAAATGCCTGTTTGTTGCTGTGTCTAAACGTCCTGACAAAATGGGACAGTGTTAATGAACAGCCGTGCGGTAAATACACCAGATTGTAGCCTTGGTCTATTTTCAATTTGTTGTCCCACAGTCACACTCACACTCTCATTCACCCTGGATTATTTCACACGCAAACTCCAAACAGAAAGGGGCAATCATTTTACGTTTTTATAGTTAATTATTATTTTCTACAGTCCTATGCTAGTGTGGTTCTGACTAGTTTTTATCATTTTTGTAATGAAAATCACTGAAATCCTGTTTTTCCTATTCAAAGAGACGAGGTGCGGCAGCGCACAGACGTGCCTCACCCCAGATCGCTTAGTCCCTCTCAGTGGTGCATGTTGCTGTTTGTTTCCAAAATCCTGCTTTGAAAACATGTTTTATGCTTGTTATAGTGTCTCGAAATGTATTCCACGCAAGTATGTACTATTTATATTGAGTTTTGAGAGGAAGAAAAGGCTCTGTGAATTGGGTGCAGCTGTTACTGCCACCCCCTCGACCCAGAAATGGATTAAGAGGAGGTAAATGGTTAGATAGACGGAGCGAAACACACAAGGAAAAAGCTCAGTTCATACCTGAGTTGCTTATCAACAATCGGTCCAATATGCTATTTCTATTACAATAATTTATTTGCCATTTGCAGTAAAACCACATTGGAAAAACTGTGCAAGACTACAACAGTGTGTACCAGACGCATCTCTTCCTACTCTTGTCTCTCCCTCCTTGTGGCTCTTTCTCCCCGCTTCTCTCCCACCTTGCATCTCTCCCTCCTCGCGTCTCTTCCTCCTGACGTCTCTCCCTCTTTGCGTCCCTCCCTCCTTGCATCTCTCCCTCCTAGCATCTCTACCTCCTCACGTCTCTTCCTCCTGACGTCTCTCCCTCCTCGCATCTCTCCCTCCTCACGTCTCTCCCTCTTTGTGTCTCCCCCTCATCGCATCTCTCCCTCCTTGTGTCTCTCCCTCTTCGTGTCTCCCCCTCCTCGTGTCTCTCCCTCCTCGTGTCTCTCCCTCCTCACGTCTCTCCCTCTTCGTGTCTCCCCCTCCTCGTGTCTCTCCCTCCTCGTGTCTCTCCCTCCTCACGTCTCTCCCTCTTCGTGTCTCCCCCTCTTCGTGTCTCTCCCTCCTCACGTCTCTCCCTCTTCGTGTCTCCCCCTCCTCGTTTCTCTCTCTCCTTGCTTCTCAAAAATGATGTGTGATGTGGAGCGAAGAGTCAGCAGCTGCATTTGTTGTGGGATTATTAAAATATGCTGGTTCTCTAAATTCTATACCACGTTTGTAAATTAATGCTATTTTATTAGAATGACGATTGTAAATCTGACTTTCAAAGTCAGTGCCTTCCTGATCACAAACCTTACATCACTGGTGCCGTCATGGTGCCACATTTTAAGTACATGATTATACTCTTGAAAATCTTGTGATTCAAAGTGCTTCAAGTTAGTTCAAAAAAGTGTCTCTGGTGGAGGACGTGCTCTGATACTTTACCTTAAGGACGAAGTTGTCTTCAGCCTGTAGCTTCAGCTCCAGCACAGCCTGTCTCACATGCTTCTCAAAGTCTAAGTCTCTCTTCCGGGGAACGTCCAGAGCGGGGAACAGGTCTCCAATAAGCCCCATGAAGACGGGCATGTCATTGGTCACTATCTTGGGAACGTTGAAATCTCGCAGTGCCCTCATGAGCACCTGGTCCTCGGCTCGCTGTGGGTCACTCCTCTTCAGAGAGCCAGCCACCACAAGGACAGACTTTATGGCCCTCAAGCCCCAATCATAATGGTCCTGGAAGCAAAAACCAAGTGTCAAGCAGAATATCTTTTAACCCTTTTGACCAGTAGGCCCCAACCCCCATTTGATACTGGGTAAAAATACATCACTTGTTTTTTTTTTATTGTACGTGCTTTATTTTGAAAAATTACCAATTATCTCCTTCCATCTTGAGCACATTCATTCATACATTCATTCATTAACATCCCCTTTATTAATCTATTACTAAGTCAGGGGGTGGGTCTACGGGAGGATGGCTGCTCTGTCAACGAAGACACTGCCTTGGTCTTTCAGCGGGGGCTTCATGCAAAATTGGGTTAGGTGTCTTGCCCAAAGACACAAAGGCAGCAGACATCAGTGGGAGCGGGTCTCATCCATTTGGCCCAAAGACGGATGCTCTACCAACTGAGCCACTGCCGCCCCTTTTGTTCGTGTGACACATTAAAAACCGAGGTGAGAGTCGAGTGTAGTTCGGCGCGCTCTGAGCAGAAGGATGGCCCCGCGCGCTGTACATCAGTTCGTAATGAAGTGTTAAAAACAAGGTGTAAAGACAAGGGACGTGGAGGAGTAAGTGGCATGTGTGCAGAGCTGTTATAGGACGAGAAGAGTGAAGAAAAGAGCGTTACTAATCTCGTAACGCTCTTTTCTTCACTCTTTTCTCAAAGCTCTAACCACAACGACTGGAGGAGTGAGGGCCGTGCAGGTGTCCCGGTGTAACGCCGAGATACACTGTCTTGAAGAGATGCACTGCCTCAGCTGTTTATGATGTAATACAAACCTGCGCATGCGCGTCTCACGGCAGCCGAAGCATACCAAGATGGCGGACCGTGAATTGCTAAAAGTTGAAATACGAACGAATTAAGACACAAATGTCACTTTTAATGCAATTTGAGGCGAGATGTTGATGGTCCCGTTTTGTCACATGTGGGTTTTAAGAGTCAAAGTTTCGTGCAAAGTTTAGTTTAAGCAGTCAACTGCGCCTGTGAAACCACAAAGCTAATGTTTTCATAGCAGTCCGCGGCTGCTGACGTAGGCTGATGACGCGTCCTGTGGCCACTCTACACTCTTACACTGGTCTGTCGGGTTGATAATGGAAAATGGGAGAAAAAATCAATCTAATTAAATATTTTGTTTGAACACACTATTGTTAATCATATTAAATAAAGTACGATACATGTATTGAATGAAATTTATTATTTCCATTATCAACCCGACAGACCAGTGTAAGTGTAGAGTGGCCACAGGACGCGTCATCAGCCTACGTCAGCAGCCGCGGACTGCTATGAAAACATTAGCTTTGTGGTTTCACAGGCGCAGTTGACTGCTTAAACTAAACTTTGCACAAAACTTTGACTCTTAAAACCCACATGTGACAAAACGGGACCATCAACATCTCGCCTCAAATTGCATTAAAAGTGACATTCGTGTCTTAATTCGTTCGTATTTCAACTTTTAAAGCAATTCACGGTCCGCCATCTTGGTATGCTTCGGTTGCCGTGAGACGCGCATGCGCAGGTTTGCATTACATCATAAACAGCTGAGGCAGTGCATCTCTTCAAGACAGTGTATCTCGGCGTTACACCGGGCAGAGCTGATGCCAACAGCTGATGGATATAAGTTTTTATCAACAAGAAATGAACCAGAACACACAAAGAACATGCGTCTGATGGACCCAGCGTCAAAAGTGCGAAGCTGCTGAAGTTTATGAACTATGCAAACCAAATTAAGACAAAATGGCGTGTCCTGATTTAGCTCTTGTGTCTGTGTTTTTGCTCTGCCTCGCTCCTCCCTTTGTGTTTTTCAGGGCATGTGTGTGACAGGGGCATGGCTAGCTCTGCATCCGTTTCATATTCATTCATCAGCTCTACTTTAAAACTCCGGTGCAGACCTCAATTCTCTGCCAAATTATTCCATGTCTCAGGTCAGTGAACCGTGTCTGTAGCTGCGTTTCCATTGAGCATCAAATTTCGAAATTTGAATTTGCGCATCATAAAATGTCTAATGGAAACGCGCAAATTTCGAATAAACCACAGTTTTTCGATAAAAAGTGAATGCGCTTAAAATAGGTGGTTTTTTGGACGTATCGAAATTAAGTTTTTCGCAAAACGGCAATGGAAACACTTATTTCGATATAGCGGAGGAAGCCGAGCTGAGCTTTATTCAGTGAGTTTTGGCTGCGCTTCGTGTGGAGACTTGGGAGATACGTGGGAGAGGCATGGGGGAGAGACGGGGGAGAGACGGGGGAGAGGCATGGGGGAGAGACGGGGGAGAGACGGGGAGGAGACGGGGGAGAGATGGGGGAGAGAGACGGTGGAGAGACGGGGAGGAGACGGGGGAGAGACGGGGGAGAGACGGGGAGGAGACGGGGAGGAGACGGGGGAGAGAGAGACGGGGAAGAGACGGGGGAGAGGCATGGGGGAGAGACGGGGGAGAGGCATGGGGGAGAGACGGGGGAGACAGGCAAGACCCGTGTCTATGGTTCTGTGCGCGCGTCTATGGTCCGCGCTCGGTGACCACGCGCGTTCGCGGAGCTGTCAAAGCAGCCACAGTTTCTCCCGGGGTCAGAGAGGATGAGAGCCGCAGCAGAAGTCAAGACAGTTAATATATCTCACGTAAATGAATGAATGAATGAATGAATGAATGAATGAATGAATGAATAATTTTTATTTCAAGCAAGCAAGCATGAGCATGACACAATGTCACAATAACAAAACTTAAATTCATAAACGTTATAGTAAACAATATATATTAACACAGATTACATTATTTATTTATTATTATCATTATTATTATTATTTTTTATTTTTTTATTATTATTATTATTTTTTTTTTTTCCTTAACAATAAAGTAATGCTCTTTGCTTGAAAGGGAGTGAGAAGAAGTGAAACACTTGTTTACTCCCACCCCCAACTACAAAATAAAACTAAATACTGGATACCGTCCTGTACAACATAAAATTACGACAAAGTTTTACATTATACTCTGTCGGTCAGATAAATACATAAACACGTGCAAATGCACACATACATACGCACATATATTTAAATATACCTGAGTACACGTACATATATACATACACACACATCCGTATACATGTACACATACATATATACTAACACGCACAATCGACACACATATAATGCTTGTATAAGACAATAAAATAGACCTATATTCTCTTAGTCTACTTTTGTTTTTAAGTTGGAACCTAACACTATTTAGAACGTTTCATCTAATTTGTATCTCATTAATATAATTTCTTTGTATTTAGATTTGAATTTCCAAAGTACTGTGGACTGTTTGAGGTCGTCCCCCAAACCATTCCAGAGCCGGACCCCACGTACCGACACACACATACTCTTCCGTGTCGTTCTCACGGCTGGAACTTTAAAGATATTAGAACCCCTTAAATTGTGTTTTCCCTGTCTTATTTGAAAAAGTAATTGAATTTTTTTTGGCAGATTATTTTTACTTGCTTTGTACAATAACTGTGCTGTATAAAACTCAACCAAGTCATAGAATTTTAACTGTCTGGACTGCAGAAACAGTATGTTGGTGTGGTCATAGTAGCCGGCACTATGAATGGTTCTTATTGCACGTTTTTGGAGTTTCCAGAGCGATTGTAGAGAAGTATTGTAATTGTTACCCCAGACTTCAATTCCATAAATTAGGTAAGGTAGAACAAGGGAACAATACAATAAATCAAGGGCTTTATGGTTTAAAACATATTTTGTTCTATATAACAAGGATATATTCTTGGAAATCTTGTTTTGTATATATTTGATGTGTGACTTCCAATCTAGTTTACTGTCAATCATCATTCCTAAAAAATTTATTTCAGACACTTTTTGAATTGTTGTTCCTTCTATTTTTACTATGAGTTCTGATTCTCTATGATTCCCGAAAAAAATTACTTTAGTTTTCTCCAAGTTAAGAGATAACTTATTCGTATCCATCCATATTTTGATTTTCTTTAGTTCGTCATTTACTATATTAATTAGAGTGTTTAAATGGTCATGACTATAAAATATGTTAGTATCATCAGCAAATAAAATCATCTTCAGTATATTGGATACTTGAAACAAATCATTAATATACAGAACAAATAGTTTTGGCCCCAAAATAGATCCCTGTGGAACTCCACAAGCAATGCCTCTACGCTCTGATTCAATATCACCCATCCTCACAAACTGTGTTCTCTCTGATAGGTAGCTCTTGATCCAATTCCATGACACCCCCCTAATACCATACCTTTCTAATTTTTTAAGTAAAATTTAATGATTGATAGTGTCAAAAGCTTTTTTTAAGTCTATAAAGATTCCAACTGCATGTCTCTTTTTGTCTAAAGCGCTGGTGATTTCTTCAACCGCTTCAAGAATTGCCATTGTTGTGGATCTCTTTGATCTGAAACCGTATTGTCCTTCATTTAAAATGTCACATGTGTCTAAAAAACTTTCTAGTCGCTTGTTAAACAGTTTTTCAAGAATTTTGGAAAATTGAGGGAGCAGAGAAATGGGTCTGTAGTTGGTGAAGATGTGCTTATCTCCATTTTTGAATAGAGGTATAACTTTGGCTGTTTTCATATTTTTAGGAAATGTTCCAGTCTGAAATGAAAGATTACAAATGTGGGTCAAAGGCTTTTCGATACCTTCAATTACTTTTTTTATAATAAACATATCTATACCATAACAATCAGTAGATGTCTTGCTTTTAAAACTATTGACAACATTTTTTATTTCAACCCCACTCACATCAGCGAGAAACATGGTTTTTGTGTTTCTTTGAATCAGATTAAGATCAACAACTTTGTTGTGTTCAGGGATTTTTTCTGCCAGCTCTGGGCCTATGCCTACAAAAAAATTATTAAACTTATTAGCAAAGTTGTGCATGTTTGTGACAGTGGTTCTCCCCTCAAGGAAATAATTTGGATATGGGTCCTTCTTAGTTTCCCTTTTTAATATCTTATTTAGTACGCTCCAAATACCTTTAATATTATTTTTATTTTCATTCAAAACATT